CTCTCCTCAATTCCCCCATCGTTTCATTTTTTGCTGTTGTTGTCCTAACCAGTCCGTCGGGAATTTTTCTGTTGTCGCGCTGACACCAGTGAGGTGGGTGGTTCCCGATTACTGTAAACTAGGAATCGTAGGAATAGAGTCCGAATCAAATTTCTTTCCACTGTTGTGATTTCTTCCGGGTGTCCATGATTTCTTACAGTGGTTCCGACCCCCACAGTGATATGATTTAAAAAAGAAGAACATTTGTATAAATATAGTAATTTGTAACCGTTGGCTTACATAATAAGAATCGTAACCTCTCCTCTGTTGAACTAACCGAGGGGATCGGTTCCGGAATCGATCCTTCGCCCAGCTCTAGCTGACACGCTCTAACCCGTTACTCGACAACACAGACAGATAAACGTATAGCACTATTCACAAAACTCACCGGTTTTCTTGTTATCCGAATCCTTCCCACCGTTGCTGGAGCTGTTGTTGTTATTATTGTTGTTACTGTTCTGATTATTGACAGCGTTGTTGTTGTTATTGTTGTTATTGTTATTATTATTGTTATTGTTGTTGTTGTTGCAGGCGCTGCTGCTGTTGTTGTTGGAGCCGTACGCGCTGCCCGGGCTGCCGATGTCCTGACACGGGGACCCGGTCGCTGACCGATCGATGACGTCATGGTCAGCCCGACAGAAAAGTCCGTCTTCCCTGATGGCGAACTCGTCGCCTGTGACCAGCGGTTTGTTGCAGACGATGCATCTGAAGCAGTTGAGGTGGTAGACTGTGGACTTTGTGGGCCGCATCACCACGTCCTCTCGGCAGAAGCCCAGGCCGCATCGTGAACACTTGGTGCCGAACAGTCTGAGGGGGGAGAGAGGAGAGTTTTAGTTTTTGTAAGTGTTTTACGGCACTTGCAACACAATATGGTCATATAAGTGCGGAGGAGAGTTTTAGTTTTAGTAAGTGTTTTACGGCACTTGCAACACAATAAGGTCATATAAGTGCCGAAGATTAGAGGTGTTACAAGAGAGTTAAAAACATAAAAAAGAAGGAGGAGAGATAAGTACGATAGATGTTTGATAGGAAAGAAGAAGCAAACCACACCAGCGCACCCACCATCCATCCACTAGGGGAGGAGAGTGGAGATGGTATACCGTTATGGAGGATTGAGGTTGGTGAGGGAAATACACATATAAGTATGATGGGGGTGGGAGTTCTAATGAGCACAGGGAAAGAGAAAGAGAAAAAGAGAGAAAGAAATAATTGAGGGGGAGAGAGACAGAGAGATCGAGAGAGAGAGGGAGGGAGAGAGATAGAGAGAGA